TCTTGGAAGGCTGAGGCGGAAAGATCGCCGGAGCCCAGCGGGTCGAGGCTGCGGTGGCCGGTAGTGGCCACTGCACTGCAGTCTGGGCAACACAGTGAGACTCCAACTCAAAAAAAAAAAAAAAAGAGCTTATGTTAGCATCTATAAAGGAGACCGGAGCCCTTGACTCTAGTCCTGGCTTAGTTTCAGAGGTGAGAGACCTGAGGTCCTAGGAAGCCTTAAGTGCCCTAGGGGGCCAGTACGGCCTGCAGGGAGGCTGGAACCAGGTGGTCTCCTCCCAGGCTCCACCTCTGCTCTGCCTGACTGGCCTCAGAAATGCAGCGAGATTCTTCTGGACTTGCAGACCTCCTTAAGCTGGAAGGAGTTCTGGAAGTGCAGCAGGGGCTGTGTGTACATGGCTGGTCACAATAGGTGATATGTGGTCCAGCCACCGTCCCTTTGCTGCAAGGAACGATGGAAGCCGAGGGTATGGATTCTGGTGACAGACCTGCCAGTCATGCTGTCCTCAGGCCAGTGACTTCTGCTCTCTGAGGCTCAGCTTCTGCATCTCTGAAGTGGAGATGATAATGGCATCACCTTCCTGAGCTGCAAGCCCCTGTACTCCATCAGATGGACACATGCCTAGCACAGCCCATGTAGTCTGCTTGCTTTCTCTAACCGCTGCTCTGGGTGCACAGTCCCATGGCACCTTGCTGCTCTGCGTGTCTGTTTGGTTCATTCTTGTGGCTCCTTGGAGTTCTTGACACGATGAGGTCCCCAGTCCAGAGGTGGCTGGTAGCCCCCTGGCAGGTGGGGTATGCCCAGGATCTGACTGAGTGCTTTCACCTAGGAAACTGGAGGCAACCAGTGCCCAGAATATCGAGTTCCTACAGGTGATTGCCAAGCGGGAGGAGGCAATCCACCAGTCCCAGCTGCGGCTAGAGGAGAAGACTCGGGAATGTGGGGCCCTGGCTCGGCAGTTGGAGAGTGCCATTGAAGATACCAGGAGGCAGGTCAGTCTCCCTTCCATTGTGAACTAGCTCTGTGACTTTGGGCAAATCACCTAACCTCTTTGAGCCTTCTGAAAAACAGGCATATAATGTAACACCTGCCTCATGAATTTCTTGTAAGGACCAAATAAGCAATTTATTTTGTATGTTAAAATGTATTTAAATAGAGACAGGAGTCTTGTTACGTTGCTCAGGCTGGTCTTGAACTCCTGGGCTCAAGCAATCCTCCGCCTTAATCTCCCAGAGTGCTGGGATTACAGGCATGAGCCACTACACCCAGCCAAAATGAGTAAATTTTTTTGTTTGTTTTTAGTCAGGATCTCACTCTGTTGCCCAGGTTAAAGTGCAGTGACATGATCACGGCTCACTACAGCCTCTACCTCCTGGGCTCAAGTGATCCTTCCTATTCAGCTCCCCAAGTAGCTGGGACTACAGGCACACCCGGCTAACATTTTTACTTTTTGTAGCGATGAGGTATATCTGTGTTGCACAGGCTGGTCTCAAACTCCTGGGCTCAAGCAGTTCTCCTGTCTTGGCCTCTAAAAGTGCTGGAATTGCAGGCATGAACCACTGCGCCCCGTCTGAAATGAGTGGTTTTTAGTGTAGATGGCTTAGCATTTCATACATAATGATTGCTTATTATTTATTTATTTTAAGTTGGAGTCTCACTCTGTCACCTAGGCTGGAGTGCTGTGGCACACTCACAGCCATCCCAGCGTCGACCTGCTGGGCTCCGGTGATCCTTCTGCCTTAGCCTTTCAAGTAGCTAGAACTACAGGCGCGTGCTACCACACCTGGCTAATTTTTTATTTATTATAGAGACAAGGTCGCGCCAAGTTGCCCGGGCTGGTCTCTAACCCACAGGCTCAGGCAATACACTCACCTCGGCCACCTAAAGTGCTTGGATTACAGGCTGAGCCACCAAGCCCAGCTATGACTGCTCATTTAATTGCTGCCTCTTGGAACTCAGACAGGCTTACCACGTCTTACGTGATGACTCAGAAAGAGCAGGCAAAGCTGGGTTGCACACCTAGTCCCAGTAGTCAGCTCCTGCCCTGAGGATCTAGAGGATTCCCCATTGATGCAGATGTTGTCTGTGAGACCAGAGAGTGGGAGTGGCCCACCCTTCTCTGCCAGCTGTTCCTGTGTTGGGTAAACCAGCCACACCTCTGTGCCTTCCGTGCAGGTGGAACAGACCAAGGAGCACGCGGTCTCCAAGGAGCGAGCGGCCCAGAGCAAAATCCTGGATCTTGAGACTCAGCTAAGCAGAACTAAAACTGAACTTAGCCAACTGCGGCGGAGCCGGGATGATGTGAGTCAGCTGCTGGCAAGGGGCCGATGGAGACTTTAGCTTCCAGGGGCCTGTTCTGTTGATTTTTTGAATATGACATGGTTTTATTTCTCTCCAATCATCTTCCCATTCCTTAAGGATATCCTAGGTAGAGCTCCCCCTAACTTTTTTTTTGGAGTTGGAGTCTCACTCCATTGCCCAGGCTGGAGTACAATGGCACACTCACTGCCACCCCAGCGTCCATCTGCTGGGCTCCAGCGATCCTTCTGCCTCAGCTTTCCAAGTAGCTGGAACTACAGGCATGCATTACCACCCCGGCTTATTTTTGATTTATTGTGGAGACGAGGTCTTACCAAGTTGCCTGGGCTGGTCTCAAACCCATGGGCTCAGGCATTCCACTCACATCAGCCTTCCAAAGAGCTGGGATTATAGGATAAGCCACTGAGCCTGGCCCCCTGGGCTGTTTAAAAAAGGGGGCTCTACCTAGGATATCCTTAAGGGATGGGAAAGTGATTGGAGAGAAATAAAACCATGTCATATTCATATTTTTAAAAAATTATTATTATTATTATTAGTGGAGACAGTGTCTTGCTATGTTGTCCAAGCTGGTCTCAAACTCCTGATCTCAAGCAATCCTCCCGTTCTTGACTTTCAAAAGCACCAAGATTACAGGTGTGAACCACCATGCTTGGCCAAGATATCTGTGGCTTTTTTTTAATTACTCAAAGCTTTGTTTTTTTAGTTTTCTGACTCTGTGCTTATGCAAAATATCATTTAAATTCCATAAAATTCACTCATTTAAATCGTATAATTCAGTGGTTCTTAGTATATTTAGAGTTGTACAATTATCACCACAATCTAAACTTAGAATATATATTTTTTTCTTTTTTCTTTTTTTTTTTGTGCAGTAGCACGATCATGGCTTACCACAGCCTCAAGCTCCTGGGTTCAAGCAATCCTCTCACTTCAGCCTTCCAAGTAGCTAGGACTACAGGATCGAGCCACCACCCAACTAATTTTTTAATTTTTTGTAGAGATGGAGTCTCACTGTGTTGCCAGGCTAGTCTCAAACGCCTGAACTCAAGCCTTGGCCTCCCAAAGTGCTGGGATTACAGGCCTGAACTGCCAGATTTTAACTCACTGTGACTTTGCTTCTTCCTTTTCATTTTCCTTTTTCTTTTTTTTTTGACTCGGAGTCTCACTCTTGCCCAGCCTGGAGTGCAGTGGCACACTCACGGTCACCACAGTCTTGACCTGCTGGCTCAGGCAATCCTTCCACCTCAGCCTTCCAAATAACTGGAACACAGGCGTGCACCACCACACCTGGCTAATTTTTTTTTTTTTTTTTTGAGTTGGAGTCTCACTCTGTCACCCAAACTAGAGTGCAGTGGCTGCTACCAGCCACTGCAGCCTCAACCTGCTGGGCTCTGATGATCCTTCTGCCTCAGGCTTCCAAGTAACTGGAACTACAGGCATGCGCTACCACGCCTGGCTAATTTTTTTATTTATTGTAGAGATGAGGTCTCGCCAAGTTGCCCGAACTGGTCTCAAACCCATGGACTCAGGCAATCCTCTCGCCTCCACTTCCCAAAGTGCTGGGATTACAGGCGTGAGTCACCCCACCTGGCTGCTTCTTCCTTTTCTGAGAGAATGTTTCCTTATAGTCCTCATCTTTTTAAAAACATTTTCTTTGAGTTAGAGTCTCACTCCATCGCCTAGGCTGGAGTGCAGTGGCACACTCACGGACTCCCCAGCGTCAACTTGCTGGACTCCAGTGATCCTTCTCCCTCAACCTTCCATGTTGCCGGAACCACAGACGCATGCTACTGTGCCCAGCTAATGTTTGATTTATTGTAGAGACGAAGTCTCGCCAAGTTGTCTGGGCTGGTCTCAAACCTGCGGGCTCAGGCAATCCACCTGCCTCAATCTCCCAAAGTGCTGAGATGAGGCTGAGCCACTGAACCCGGCCATAGTCCTCATCTCTTTGGGAATCTCTCTTTTGGATTTCCTCAGACCTGAGCAACCATGCCTGGCCTAGCATATTTTCAAAAAGAAACCCCCTACCCATTGACAATTACTCCCAACTCCCCTCCTCTCCGTCCCTGGAAGCCCCTAACAAAGTCTCTGGAATTTTCTGTTCTGGACATTTCACACACTTGTCCCGTGCTCTGTTCTGTCTCCTCTCAGGCTGACCGTCGCTACCACAGCCGGCTGCAGGACCTGAAGGACCGCCTGGAGCAATCGGAGAGCACCAACCGCAGCATGCAGAACTACGTCCAGTTCCTCAAGTCGTCCTATGCCAACGTGTTTGGGGACGGGCCTTTCACCAACTTTCTGACCAGCTCTCCCATCCGCTCTCGCTCTCCTCCTGCCTAAGGCCACTTGTCTAGGGCCTGGAGCCCTGATTGATGCCATGGGAACCAAGGAGTTGCCAAGCTGTGGCTGGAGAGCCTACTGGTTTTCCTCTCTCTTCCAGGGGTGAAGTGTGTTCAGGGTCTTGTCCTTAGCAGCTACAGCTTACCAGAACAGTCCGTCAGCAGCGGTAGAAGCAGGAAGCACTTGGTTCTCTGTTTCCTGATGGAACCACCTAATGGAAGTCCTTCAGATTACCTTGACAGGCCTTAAATTTACTGCTGCACTCGGGTACCAGCTTTTGACTTTCCATGATTTTGCTCCTTCCTTTCCCAGGAGGACATTTGGACTGGACTTCTTCCACCCTTAAAGCCCTCACCTTTTCTGGGAGTCTCTCTCTGGGCTTCCTCTGCCTGGACCAGCAGGACCACCTCCTGGGCTGTGAGCATCGTCACTTGCTTTTTTTCTGATTTCACAGGTGCTGTTTTCCCAAGCTCAGTGCAAATCTCTCCCGCCTCAGTTTCCTCAAGGCCACTTGCCCCCAAACACTTCCCAATAGATCCTTAAGGGCTTGTGTCTAGTTTGGCCCTTATCGAGTCTAATCCCAGTGGCACTGATTTTTGTTTCTCCCTGGTTTGGATCTCTAGAATGCATTTATTCTTGAAATATTTGTGTGGTTTTACAAAAAGCTTTTATAATCTGTTATTTAAGGCTCCATTCAATGATTTCCTTTACTCCCACTCCTTCTAAAAATAGTTAAGTGAAATGCAAGAGAGCCAGTAAACATTTTTTAAAACACTTGGTGCATGAAACATTGGGCTTTTCATTTTTAACGCAGGTTGGTTTTCTCCTGTGCTCTTTCACATTTTAATCAATGAGATATCAAGAGGAAACACGCTTTGTAAGGTATTACTCGGTATTTTGGTGCAGAACATGCTAGCTGTTAGGAGAAGGATGAGATAGTGGACAGTATATGAAGGGGGACCCCAAAAACCCCAGAATTTATTTATAAAAAATTGTGTATTGATTCTTATGTGTTTAAACTTGAGTCATCTTCAAAGTACTCTGCATTTGATGCAATACACCTATCAAGATGCTTTTTCCACCGCTCAAAACAGTTTTTGAACTCATCAGTTTGAATACCTTTTAGTGCCTCTGCCAGTTTTTTGTTTCACCTCTTCCACACTGGCAAAACAATTCTCTTTCAGGACTTTTTCCATCCAGGGAAACAAAGAACGTCACTCGGGATGAGACGGGTAAATGGGGAGGCTGAGGCATGGGAGTCATGCCATTTTTGGTCAAAAGCTGCTGTACACTCAGCATGGTGTGGGCAGGTGTGCTCGTAAATCACTCATCGTTAAATGGGCAAATGCACTGAAACCATCCCCCCCAAAAAATTCACTGAAGCCAAATACAGCCTCTCACAATGCTAGCTGGTACACTGATGCTGATGGGTTCCTGGAACATATCTAGCTAGGGAAGCATGTACTACAAGGGACCTGCCCTTCAAAAAGTAATTCCAGGTTTTTGTTTTTGTTTTTTTGAGTCAGAATCTCATTCTCACCCAGACTGGCGTGCAGTAGCACACCCACAACTATCGCAGCCTTGACCTGCTGGGCTCAGGTGATCCTTCCACTTCAGCCTTCCATGTAGCTAGAACTATAGGTGTGGGCTACCATACCCAGCTAATTTTTTTTTTTTTTTTGAGTCAGAGTCTCACTCCGTTGTCCAGGCTGAAGTGCAGTGGCACACTCACAGCCACCACAGCCTCGACCAGCTGCTGGACTCAGGTGATCCTTCCCCCTCAGCCTTCCAAATAGCTGGAACCACAGGCATGTGCCACCATGCCCAGCTAACTGATTGATTGATTTATTTTTATTTTTATTTTTTTATTTTTTTGAGTTGGAGTCTCACTCTGTCACTCAGACTGGAGTGCAGTGGCCGGGAGTGGCCACTGCAGCCTCGACCTACTGGGCTCTGGCGATCCTTCCGCCTCAGCCTTCCAAGTAGCTGGAACTACAGGCGCGCACTACCATGCCTGGCTAATTTTTTATTTATTGTAGAGATGAGGTCGAGCCAAGTTGCCCAGGCGGGTCTCGAACGCACGGGCTCAGGCAATCCACTCACCTCGGCCTCCCAAAGTGCTAGGATTACAGGCTGAGTCACTGAGCCCGGCCTGATTTTTTAATTTATTGTAGAGATGAGGTCTTGCTAAGTTGCCCAGCTGGTCTTGAACCCCTGGACTCAGGCAGTCTACCTCTACCTCCCAAAGTGCTCGGATTACAGGCATGAGTCACCATAACCACCCCTTCCTTTTTTTTTTTTTAAGTCCCCCCCCATATGTTTTATTTTTAAAATGTTGCCAGGGTGGTGGCTCACACCTGTAATCCCAGCACTTTGGGACACAAAGGCGGGAGGATTGCTTGCGCCCAGGAGTTCAGGCCACATAGTGAGACCATAACTCTTCAAAAATGATTAAAAATTAGCTGGGTGTGGTGATGCTGCCTATATTCCCAGCTACTCAGGAGGTAGAGGCAGGAAGATTACCTGAGCTCAGGAGGTCAAGGCTGCATTGAGCCATGATCATGCCACTGTAGCCCAGCCTGGGTGACAGAGTGAGACTCCAACTTAAAAAATAAATAAAATGTTAATTGGCTTCTGAATGATAAAAATATGGGCCCGTTTCCTCTCTTCACAGTTTCTTATATGTAAAAGAACAAATTCTTCAGAGGGAGGACAGCACATTGGTACTGTACTGACCACTCCCCTTTCCATTCTGGCTGTTATTAGCCTTGTGGGTGATCCAGTCTTGTCAGCTCTCAACCACTCTAACCCAAGTCCAGAACTCTAGAGAATTCCTGTTTCCTTGAAAACAATGGGCTCCATGCAGGTGTCTGCATTTCAAAGACCAGAACTCTTTCCCACCAAATTTTGAGAATATTGTAGTTTCTAGCTTTCCATTTTTCCAAGAAAGATTATTAAAACACTACCAGCCAACACTGCAACAAAAGCAAGCACATTTTTATAGCCTTAACATAAATGAACTTGAACTTATAATATCTGAACAATTTCCCCAAGAAAGGACAGCTGGCAAACTTATACCCACATACATACGTATCTCTATAACTCATTGTTTTTGCCAAACTAGAGAAAACCACCTCAATACAGGACACTACTCTATCCTGGCGTGAGAAACACCTCTCTTGGAGTCCAACTCTGGGACACATTCAGCAATGTTGTTTTTCTTTGTAAAACATTTTAACACAAAAAAGTCCAGGGAGTTTGTAAAAATTCAGAAAATGAAAAATCTTCATATTGCTCATACTTCAGAGAGAATCCTTCCTACATCAGACTGAGATCCAATGAATAGATGGGTAATGGAAGAGTCAAGCTGGGCATGGTGGCTCACACCTGTAATCCCAGCACTTTGGAAAGCAGAGACCAGAGGATTGCCCGAGCCCAGGAGTTCAAGACCAGCCTGGCCAACTTGACAAGACCCCTTCTCTACAGTAAATCCAAAAATTAGCCAAGTGTGGTGTGGTGGCACATGCCTGTAGATCTAGTTACTTGGAAGGCTGAAGTAGAAGGATAGCCTGAGCCCAGAAGGTTGAGGCTGTGATGACCATTAGCGTATCATAGCACTCCTGCCTGGGCAACAAAGTAAGACTCTGACTCAAAAAAAAAACAAAACAAAAAAATGGCCACGCTTGGTGGCTCAGTCTGTAATCCCAGCACTTTGGGAGGCTGAGGTGAGTGGATTGCCTGAACCCACGGGTTTGAGACCCGCTGGGACAACTTGGCGAGACCTCCTCTCTACAATAAATAAAAAAATTAGCTGGGCCTGGTAGTGCACCTGTAGTTTCGGCTACTTGGAGGCGGAGGCAGAAGGATCGCTGGAGTCCAGCAGGTCGAGGCTGCGGTGGCCGGAAGCATGCCACTGCACTCCAGTCTGGGTGACAGTGAGACTCCGACTCAAAAAAAAAGAAAATGGGGTCCCATTTAGAGCTTTCTCCAAACAATTGTGACTCGTATTCTATTTTATTTTTTTGAGATATAACTCACATACTATAAAATTCACCATTTTGGCCGGGCTCAGTGGCTCAGCCTGTAATCCCAGCACTTTGGGAGGCCGAGGTGAATGGACTGCCTGAGCCTGTGGCTTTGAGACCCGCCTGGGCAACTTGACGAGACCTCATCTCTACAATAAATCAAAAACTAGCCAGGTGTGGTAGCACACGCCGGTAGTTCCAGCTACTTGGAAGGCTGAGGCAGAAGGATCCCCGGAGCCCAGCAGGTCGAGGCTGCAGTGGCCGCTTTCAGCCATTGCACTCCAGTCTGGGTGACAGAGTGAGACTCCAACTCAAAAAAAAAAAAAATTCACCATTTTAAAGTATATATACAATTCAGCGAGTTTTGGTATATTCGCCAAGTTGTGCAGACATCACCATTATCTAATTCTAGAACATTTTCATCATCCCCATACTCATTGGCAGTCACTCCCCATTCCTCTCCCACAGCCCCTAGCAACCATCATAAGGTCCTTCTGGTTCCAGGAAGTTGCCTATTCTGGACATTTCACATAAATAGAATTGTCCAGTATGTGGCCTAACACGACTAGCTTCTTTCCCTTGGCAAACCACATATAGGTACTTTATGGCTGAATAATATTCCAGTGTAGGGATATAGTGTTGCCTCCATCTGAGGCTGGTTGGGATTCCAAAAAGCACTAAGCCCAAAGCATTTATTAGGAGAACTTACAGAATGCTGTAATTGTCATGGTGGACAGCCAGAGAAGGATTGTTCTGCCCGGGAATGTCCACAGCTCAGAGAATTTATTTCAGAGTTTGAGGAATGTGGTTCAGGGCAGGGGCTAGTTTCAGTGTTTTGAGCAACAACCTAGATTAAGGCCTAGGTTTGGCTGCCAACCTGCTGGGGAGAACCTGCAGCTGGCTGGGTTGCACAGAGTGGTCAAAGAACTCTGATATTGAGTCCAGACACAAAGCCAGGGGAACTGAAGGACCCTACATGTAGTATCATATTTTATTTATCCATTCACCAATGGATGGACATTGGGGGGTTTTTTTTGGGTTTTTTTTTTAGTTGGAGTCTCACTCGGTCACCCAGACTGGAGTGCAGTAGCCGCTCCCGGCCACCACAGCCTCGACCTGCTGGGCTCCGGCGATCCTTCCGCCTCAGCCTTCCAAGTAGCCGGAATTACAGGTATGCGCTACCATGCCCAGCTGATTTTTGATTTATTGTAGAGATGAGGTCTCGCTGCCCAGGCGGGTCTCGAACCCGCGGGCTCAGGCAATCCACTCACCTCAGCCTCCCAAAGGCGCAGGATTACAGGCTGAGCCACCGAGCCCGGCAATTCATATTTTTTAAAAAATTATTTTATTTTTGTTTATTTTTTTGAGTCAGATTGCAGGGATTATGGACATGAGCTACTGTGCCTGGCCTGCATAAATTATTATTATTTTTTTTGAGTTGGAGTCTCACTCTGTCACCCAGGCTGGAGTACAGTGGCATGCTCACAGTCTCCGCAGCCTTGACCTGCTAGATTCAGGGTCTCACTCTGTCACCCAGGCTGGAGTACAGTGGCATGCTCACAGTCTCCGCAGCCTTGACCTGCTAGATTCAGGTGATCCTTCCACCTCAGCCTTCCAAGTAGCTGGAACTACAGGCATATGCCACTACACTGGCTAATTTTTTGATTTATTGCAGAGATGAGGTCTTGCCAAGTTCCCCGGGCTGGTCTCAAGCCGACGAACTCAGGCAGTCCTCT